TCTGTTGCCCAGGCTGGAGTGCAGTGATGCGATCTCGGCTCACTGCAAGCTCTGCCTCCTGGGTTCACACCATTCTCCTGCCTCAGCCTCCCGAGTACCTGGGACTGCAGGCGCCCACCACCACGCCTGGCTAATTTTTTTGTATTTTTAGTAGAGACGGAGTTTCACCATGTTAGCCAGGATGGTCTTGATCTCCTGACCTCGTGATCTGCCTGCCTCGGCTTCCCAAAGTGCTGGGATTATAGGCATGAGCCACCGCACCCGGCCCTTTTTTTGTGTTTTTGTCTGACTTTAGAATCATTTGAGAACATTTAGTTCTTTTATGTATGTACATATGTATGTATGTATGTATGTATGTATGTATATATGTATGTATTTGAAGAGTTCAAGAGGGATTGCTACTATTCTTATCTGAGTATTTGGTAGAATTCAGTTGTGAAGCCATCTGGTCCTGAGATTTTTTGTTGTTGGGAGATTTTAAATTTCTACTTCAATCTCTTTATTTGTTAATGTTCAGGCTCTCTATTTCTTCTTGATTCAATCTTAGTAGGTTTTATATTTCTAGGAATATATTCATTTCCTCTGGTATTTCCAAGTTGTTGTCATATAATTGTTCATAATAGTCCCTTGTAATCCTTTTCATCTCTGAGACATCTTTTGTAATATCTTCATGTTCATTTCTAATTTTATTTACCTATATGCTCATTTTCTCTAAAAGCCAAGTTAGTTTTGTTGATATTTTTCCCTAAGTTCTTCTGTTCTCTGATTTATATCTGCTTTGATCTTTTATTTTTTTTCCTTCTGCTGTCTTTGAGTCTACTTTGTTCTTCTTCTTGAGGTGTAATATCAGATAGTTTATATCAGATTTTTTTAATGCTATCAACGTCCCTCTTAGAACTTTTTTTGCTGCATCCCAAAGGTTTTAGTATGTTGTGTTTTCAATTTCATTTGTCTCAAGATATTTTTAAATTTCCCTTTTGATTTTTTCTTTGACCCATTTGTTATTCAGGGATATGTTGTTTATTTTCTACTGATTAAGAATGTTCTAGTTTTCTTCCTGTTACTGACTTGTAGTTTTATATCATCACGGCCAGAAAAGATACTTGATATGATGTCTATCTTCTTAAATTCGATAAGACTTATTTTGTGGTATAACATGTGATCTATTCTGGACAGTATTCCATGTGTGCTTTAGAAGAATTTGTGTGATAGCCTATCTGTGTAGGTCAGCTTTGGTAACACGTGGTAGTGAGACTGGAACCCCTAGTTTGGGACCCTAGGACTGTTTGCAGGTGCGTGCATGGTAGCTGTGTTGGGTCACTGGGCCAGAGCATCCAAGGGCTGTTTGCAGGTACATGCATGGTAGCTGTGCTGGGTCACTGGGCCAGAGCATCCAAGGAGGCAGTACTTACTACTGTCTCCTTGGATGCTCTGGCCTAGTAATGGCTTAAGTACCTAGAGAATGCAAAGGCTCCTGTGCTGGGTCCTTTGGCCAAGGCACCTGTGGTAGGAGTAGCTCAGGCAGCTCTGGACATGGGAGAGGGAAAGCTCTGGTGGATCAGGGATCTGGAGAATGTGAAAGCTGTTGGCCTGCATCACCCCTTCACACTGGGCTATAGTAACCACAGTAGCAGTTGGGCAGCTCTGGGTGGCTCCAGGAAGTAAGAAGAAGGGACATGGCCCAGCACGGGTTTTTTTTGTTGTTGTTGGCTGTTTGTTTGTTTTCTCCTAAAACTGAGAAGGAAAAAAAAAACAACCCATGGACCCTTAGCAGTATAAGCTGCAGGGGGTCTGTTGTTACTATACTAGCAGTTGGTTTTCTTAGCAGTAAAAGCTGAAAAAGCCTCTGGGGTCTGTGACTGAACACTGAAGGATCTTGAGAGGTAAAATCTACAGGAGGTACACAGTGGCTATGAGGGCTGTTGAGGTCCTTGACAGAGAGGCCTACTGGGGCTCTGTGTCGAGCAGGCCACGGCAGATCACTGCGACTCCTGCTACTTTGCTGATACTGATATAACTAATCCCTATTCTTTGCTCTCTGCTGTCTCCAGATATCTAGGCTATATCTGTCTTCTCAGAGATCTGGGTGGGATAAAACTGAAGCTGTTAATTTGGGCAGTGTCCCATAAAGCTGGGGAACCTTGTTGTATACTCCTGTCTCCTTCTCCCTGTATGTAGGACGCAAGATCCAAGGAGTTTCCCTTCCATAATGAGCAGTGCCAGCTATGGGGATGGGGTGATGCAGGCAAAATGAAACTATTTTTCCTACTACTTTTGTGTATTTGTTTTCTGACTTTTTCTTTCACTATATTGCTGTGGCTTCTTAAGTGGACCCCTAAGCTCTTCCAGAATTATTTTTTGTTCATGGATAGCTACCAAATTGTTGTTTGCTGAAGAAAGGAAGGCTGATATTTCCTATTCTGTCATCTTACTGACATCCTCTCCTAAAAGTTGATTTCTAAGTATTTAACATTTTTTCAGCTGCTGGTGTAAAGGTATTTTAAAACGTCAGTTTCCTATAGTCTGTTGCTATTACACAGGAATACGGTTGATTCTTGTACACTGACTTTGTGTCCTGACACATTACCAAATTCACTAATTGGTTCCAGTACTTTTTTGTAGCTTTCTTAGGACTTTATGCATATACAATTATGTCGTCTCTGAAAAAAAGACCATTTTATTTCTTCTTTTTTCAGTCTATATTCTATTTCCTTTTTTTATTTCTTATTTCTCTGGTCAGGACATACAGTACAGTGTTAACTAGAAATGGTAAGACCAGGCATTTTTGTCTTATTCTGATCTTAGGGGCAAGCATTCAGTATTTTACCAAGTAATTAGCTTAACATTTTTCATAGGTGCCCTTTATTACATTGTGGTAGTTTCTTTCTATTTCTAGTTTGCTGATGTCTTTGTCATAAATTTATTTTCTCAAATGCTTATTCTGCATTATTGAAACAATCATGTAATTTTTCTCCTTTAATCTGTTAATGTGGTGAATTGGATTGGGATAAGTCTCTCCTGATCATGGTATATTATTCTTTTTATGTGCTATTTTGCTTGTTTTTCAACCCTAATATAATAACTCCATCTTGATTTTTTTGTTGATCAGTTTCTATTGCCTGTTGTTTCTCTTGGGTTTTATAAACATTTTCTATTCTAATACATCGGGTTATCTTTTATTAAGTACTTGTCAATGTATAATAAAAATTATAGAGTTTTTTTAAAACTTTACTTGGAATTAATTTCAAACTTATGGAAAGGTTGAAAAATAATAACCATACAAAACATACCCAGATTCCCCTGTTGTTAACATTTCACCATTTTGTCTTACCATTTGAGTGTGTTTTCCCTCTCTCCTGACTCTCTCCTCTTCCCCTTTCTTTATATACATATTTATATGTCCATATATACATATACACACACTCATACATTTTTTTCTCAGCCATTAGTGTTTAACTTGCATACATCTTAGATTCCTTACCTCTAAACACTTCATCACATTGTGTTTCTTTAGGGACATTTTAAGGAGATAATATCAGGGTCTGGATTATGTGATTCCTTCATACAGATATTTATTTATTTTTAGCTTTTCCAGCTATTCTCAGTGGCAGGGTTTGTCTGCAACAACTTAGTCTGTCATTGCCAGAAGTAGAGTCACTGATCTCTTACTTTTTGTGATCCAGTCCCAGAGTTTTATTGCCATGCTGTGTTTTACTCTTGTTAGGACCGGTGTTCCCTCGTTACCCTTCTTTTACAGAATGTCCCTACTGTTGCTATTTACTCATTTTTTTATAAGAATTTTACAGTCAGTTTGTCTTGTTACTAAATAATTTGTTTTGCTATTGTATTATTAAATTATGAATCAATTTAAGAATAATTGACTTCATTATCATTTTAATATTTCTGCCTAAGAATATGATCTCTCTTTCCATTACTTGAAGACTTATTTTGGGGTCCTCTGTAGCCTTTTCTTTTCTGTTTTTTCTTTTCCCACAGCAAGATGGATTCTGGATATACTCTGAGTATTGTAACAACCACCTGGATGCTTGCATGGAGCTCTCCAAACTGATGAAAGACAGCCGCTACCAGCACTTCTTTGAGGCCTGTCGCCTCTTGCAGCAGATGATTGACATTGCTATCGATGGTTTCCTTTTGACTCCAGTGCAGAAGATCTGCAAGTATCCCTTACAGTTGGCTGAGCTCCTAAAGTATACTGCCCAAGACCACAGGTAAGGGATTGAGGGAGTCAGGAGTGAATGAGGGAACTTCCTCTATCTGTTGGTTCTCATTGAGAATACATATCCTTTTGCCCTTTCTGAGTTTCTATTAACTTATCTACAAAATAGGATGATACATTCTTGATTGCCTCATAGCCAACAGGGTACAGAAGGCAGAGCTATCACTGGCTTTGTTACTCACACAAAAGGAGGGTCCAGGGCCACTATATTTGGGTTAAAATCTGAAATCTGCCTAGGGCTCCAGCACCACTAAAGCATATAAGATATGATTTGTTAGAGAAGCAACATCAACTCAAAAATGAACCCAAATATGTAAACCAAACCAACTGGCCCACACCCAAGGCCTAATGAATCTGGGTCTGAAAGTTAGCCCCAAAGAGACCAAGCAATGGAGCTAAATCATACTTGTGGACTGATAATATTCACTGGGTAAATTATATATGGCATAATTCATCTTAAAAGTTCCAGAAAAAAGTTTTTAAGCATAACTCAAAGCTATGTTAGTTTCTTAGGTCAAAACAACATCAGAGCTTTTGGGGGGTTTGGTGTGCACCAAAAAGATAGGACATTCAATTTGGATTTGCCATTTCTGTGCACTTTCACCTTGTGACTGGAACTCCTGCTTCGAAGTCCTCTTGACATCTAGGTTCCTGATTCCCTCTCCTCCCCCGTCTTGCGCTCCAGAGTGACAGTAGAGTCGCTCAGGCAGTGTCAGGCTACATCAATTCCTGCCCTTTCTCAGAGTGACCTGTTGGGCCCAGCACAACTCCCACGACATGGACAACCCCTTTTGGCAGGTCTCAGGAATCTATATTAAGATGATGGCTCCTGCCATGCATGTCAAGAGTAGCTTGGATTTGAAGGCAATTAAAAGCTGATGCCAACTTGGAAGCTTAGTAAGATAGGTGTTCAGATAGGTTGGACTGAAGGCCTCTGAGGGAGAAGATTAGATGACAAATGATAAATAGAGAAGAATACTGACTTTGCTTACAGATGATTGACATATATTCCCTACCCTACCTTCCTTAAGTTGATGAGAATGAAGACTGCATGTAAGAGGGAGGCTAGCTGACATGTCTGGAAGTAGAAAATCTTTATTCTGTTACTCTCCCCAGTAAGAGGCTGGGCCCAGACCTCATCTGAGGGCTTTGACCAGGGTTTGGCTGAACCACAGCCATTCCTTTCTTCTCCCGCCGACTGCTAAAACTAGTAGGACAGGTTAGAGATGGGCACATTCCCCCTCTAGCCATTTTGAGAAAGGCAGCCAGCTAAAAATGGCAAAAATAGGCAGTATGGGACACTGACAGTGAGGAATCCATGGCCGGGTAGTCTTGGCGTAGAGGAAATGAACGTTCTCATGCCAGGACTGCCCAGTAGAACTTTCTGCAACAATGCAAATAGTCTATATTTGTGTTATTCAGTATAGTAGTTACCGATCACATGTGACTATTGAGTACTAAGAAACATAGCTACTGCAACTGAGAACTAAATTTTAAATTTTACTTAATTTTAATTAAATATGGCTAGTAGCTACCATATTGGACAGTACAGCTCTGTGCTTTACTTCCCAGAAAGTGGCTTAGAGCACTTATCTCCTCAAATCAGAGAAAGGAAAGGTACAGGGGCAGAAAATGGATCCAAAGAATAGGAGCACTTAATTATGTTAGCAGCTTCTGTGCTGCAGTCTTCCCTTCTGTCACCACTCTACCTCCTTCTAAGTGTCAGGCTCAGACATCTTGCCAAGGAGAAACTTTGGTGATGTCACATAGCCCAAAAGATCCTCATATGTTGGAGCAACTAACTGTAAAAGAATGAAATGTAACAGAAAAAGATGTAGAGTGTTACCATTGCGTCTAAGATAAGAAATAAATAGCTCAAGGACAGGCTGAGAGAGTTTGTTTTGAAGAGACTTAGGAAGTGTTAGTTGGCCATAAGCTCAATATGGGTCAGCAGTGGGATCCAGAAGAAAAACTGATAATAGCTAACATTCATTGAGGCTCAGAATAAAGACTTCTCTAACATATTTGTCTTGAGACAGAATAGACTGGTTAGGAAGTATAGTGAAAAGCCTTTCACTGGAGGTGATACTGTAACATTGTTTGAGAGCTATGGCTCTGACAGGTGTGCAGAGCACAGATTGGAGTGAAGGATGCAAGTTAAGAGGAGGTACTACATAGGATCTTCCTGGCAATTAGAAGTCCTTTTCCTCGGCCTTTCTTTGGTCCATCAACCCACTATTCAATGTTGTGGGTGTGCAGTTGTGCAGTTGTGCAAAGATGTGCAGTTGTTGCACATCTTTTTTTTTTCTATTTCCTTTAAAAAAAAAATGGTACTGAGAGATTGAGCAGACTAGTGACCACAAGGCATTTTCAGTTTCTCTAAGGAAAGGTGTTAACACTGAACTGTAATGCATCCTCTTGTCTTCTCAGTTTATTTTAGCCCCCACTGAATGGCTGAGATCTCCCTATCAACCTGCCTTTCTCAAGAACCATTCAATTGGAAATCAGAAAAGAACAGCAGAAAAAAACCTGGACAGGATATGTAACTCTCAACATGTCTGCTATCCAGGGTCCCAGGATGTGAGGCCAAGGATTATACTTCTGAGACTGGGGCTTTTAAGAGGCATCCCATGTGATGTCTCTACTACAGAAATGTTTGATTTGTAATAGTAATACTATTAACATTTGTTATATGCCAAGAGTAAAATAGTTTACATGGATGATTGTATTTAATTTATGAAACCTTCAGTAAACTATACTTTTCCCCATTTTACAGATGAGGAAATTGAGTCAATGAGAGAGGGAGTGAGACTTGCCAAAGGCCACACTGCTAGTCAGTGAGAAAAACTGACATTTGATCCCACAAAGTCTGGCTTCAGACTTTGTGTTCTTACCCACTGTACTACATTCTGTTTCTATATTGTGCAAAAGCAAACGTGAGGATGATATTTCACAGTGATTTTGGGCAGAAGCTCCATAGAAATAGATGATGGAAGAGATGGTAAGGTGGTCTATACTGCGTCATGTGTGAGGCTCCCTTTTTGGTCCTTGGCTGGCTGTATCAGATAGGACACAAAAAAAGTGATGCAAAAAAATAGCGGCCCATTTGTCTCTCATGTAAAAGAAGTATGTATTCTGAAGTTTATGACTGGTATGGCGGCCCCATGGTCATGAGCACCCTACAGCTATCAGAAACATGAGCACCCTACAGCTGTCTGCTATCCTATGCCTAGGGTATTGACCTTGTCCTTATGGTCCAAGATGGCTACTGGAGGTTCGGCCATCACATCAACATTCCAAGCATCAGGATTGAGTAAAGGCTAAAGAAGGGTTTGCTCACTTCCTTAAAGGTGATTTCTCAGAAGGCCTACCTGGTAGAGCAGGAGCACCATCATCTTGGACAAGCACCACCACTTTAAGTTCCAGCTCCCTTTCTAGGCTCATGCATTTCAAGAAATCACTTCTTTTCTAACTACAAGCAGCCAGAAAGAGCAGACAGTAAGAGAGCTCAGGCACAGAAGGAGGTCAGGGGAAAGTCTCTTGGGTAACTGCCAAACTTCACCCTCATACAATGGGCCCCAGTAAAACAGTGGCCATTAATAAGCACATTCTTTTTCCTTCAGGTGCACTAAGATAGAGAAGATAAAAGCAGACTCAGGGGATATGCCTGCAGCTGCAAAAAGATGTATGGGAATAGACACACAACTCTCTCTCCCAGAAAAGCACAACAAAGAGGCACAGAAACAGTCTATGCCTCTGATAAACTCTCCCACCCTGAATCCTTAAAAACTCTTAGTCTGTAAGAAAGTGTGGCTCTGACCTAACTTGGCCAGCTGTTCCTATCAGGTTTATTTAAATTAACCTCTCCCTGTTGACTGAAAAGCCATCCTTCATGTTTCTCTCCTCTTTCTTTAATTCTTATACTACCCAACACTTCTATTTACATATCAGTGTACAAAACTTAGATGCATAGTCATTTTTGCTGAAGCAAAAGATAGGAAATATAGTCTTTAGGTGGTGTGGGTTCCCATTTGAAAATCAGGACTCTGTTACTAAGGAGGTAGAGGAGAGTGGATGTTAAGATTGGCACCTAGCACATTGGTTCTCTGGCACATTGGTTTGTTCAACTTGCACTCTTTTGTTTTCACAGTGACTACAGGTATGTGGCAGCTGCTTTGGCTGTCATGAGAAATGTGACTCAGCAGATCAACGAACGCAAGCGACGTTTAGAGAATATTGACAAGATTGCTCAGTGGCAGGCTTCTGTCCTAGACTGGGAGGTAGGAAACTTACCAACCAGGGTATTGGGGAATCTGAATAGCTTGGCAAAAGCTTCCCATCTTACCTAAGGATAGGTGAAGAGAAATTAGATTTGAAGAGCACCAGGAAGGATTTAGATTAGACTCAAGGTAAAATTTCCTGCTAGCGAGAAGTGTTGGATACTTGAATAACTTTCTAAGAAGATTGGAGAAATTTTTGTGATGATACCTCATTGAGAAATGAAAGGTTCATTTCTTTAGGTATTGCCAGGGAACAATTGGGTTGACTCAGTAGCCTTTCAAAGCTCTTTCTGGATTTATGACCAACAGATTCACACTTAGATAAGAAGTAGTATATACTAATTTACTTTCAGACATAGAATACAAGGTTGGTTCTCCTGTTCCCAACCATGCAGGATAGCCAACATACTTTTTTTTTTTTTTTTTAATCAGTTATATCACCTCACCCTGACACATCTATTAGGTCTCTCTATTAGGCCTGTACACTCTAGGCCACAACCATCATCCCTGCCAAATCCACAGTTTTATCATCTGTTTTTAAAATAATACCTGAGAGCCTTCCAGTTCATTGCAGACAGCCATGACTTCTCTGAATTCTGAAAGACCTTTCCTTCCTAGATGCCCACCAAAAGAACCAGGAGTAATGACATTTCGCATATGTCTTGCAGACCCAGGTTGTGCAATCTGATAGTCTGCTGGCTAAAATAACCAAGATGGGAGAGGCTGGACGTGCTACTAGGGAGGGATTAGCAATCTTAAGCCTTGTGGTCCCAATATAGAGGTAGGGTCTGCTCCCAATTCCCCTGATCTCAACTCAAGTGTCATTTTCAGTGATTAAGAGGTAGTATCTCTCTTAATACTTAAAGTATTTTAGCCCATTCCAAGGGAACCAAGCATCATCCTCACAAACAGCTACTTAACCAAGGCCCAGAAAAAAGTCATCTTCCTTTTATTCTGCTACCTCTGTCCTACCTTAATGTAGACTGCTGAAAAAGACCACAGTTCTGATCAGTTGACATCCTTTAGGGTTATATTTGAAGGATAATGTTCCCATATAAGTAGAACAGCACTTTGATTTTCAGAGAAAGGAATTTGTCTAGATGAAGAGATCCTCGTTCTCTTAAGCAGAAGCCAGCACTGGGCCAGACTTACTAGAAAATTGTGGGTCCTTTTTTCCTTGTGTTGGCCTTGCTTTGGCCATTTGCCTGATTAGAGGCAGAGAGCTGGACCAAATGACTTCTAGCAAGCCCATCAACTCTAAAACACTAAAATTAAGGTGGATTAGCTGGCCTTATTCTCTCTCGTTGGCAGGGTTTTTTATAAGAGAAGGTGCCCAGCAGCGGTTGTCTTCCTATTCCCTGGAGCATCTCCCCAACTTCCCAATGCCTAGAAGACCTTCTAATTCCCCTGTATGCTCTGGGGCATCAGTCCTTGGAGCAGGAGCCATGGGGAACCAAAAATAGCATGAAATTCCCTGGCCTACCCAGGGAGCTTCAGTAGCACCAAGCTCAATAACATTGGGGTATGATTTAAAGACTCAGCACCTCCGAAGGAATTTCCTGCATGTTTGTCTGGATGGGGCTACAAAAACACGGTTCTAACAGTTTCTGCCTCCTTTGTTAGCCTGATTGATTGGTACTCTAATCTCATGTAAGCCCACACATCCCTTGTACGCTCCTGCTTGGTGAAGCCTTTCTTTATCTAAATTGACATCTTACTTCATTCAGGCTGCTATAACAAAATACCATAGACTGGGTGGCTTATGAACAACAGACATTTATTTCTCATAGTTGTGGAAGCTGGGAAGTCTAAGATCAAGAAACCAATAGATTCAGTGCCTGGTGAGAGCCCTCTTCATAGACTGTTGTCTTCTCATTGTAACCTCACATGGCAGAAGAGATGAGAGAACTCTTTGGGGTCTCTTTTATGAATGCTGTTCCCATTTAATTCATGACAGCCTCATTCTCATGAGCATCATCCCCCAAGGCCTCACTCCCAAATGCCGTCACAGTAGAGATTATGTTTCAACATGTGAATTTTATGGGGATACAAACATTCAGCCTATAGCAATTTGTAGGAAGAAAAATTCTTCATGGTCTTCTTGTCAGACTGAGGCCACTGTAGAACATTTCAGAGGCCAAGCCTAAAGTTTCTGTCATATTCACCATACCTGTGTTAAAGACGTCTAGAATGTCAGAATCACAAAGGCTCTTGAGGACTCCCCCTACAACCCTGATGATTCTTGTGTGTATACACACGCACATATGCACATACACACATACTCTCACACACTTACTCTCAAACACCTTGCAGTGATGGTGGAAGACAGACAGGCAGAGAGAGGCTTATTTCCTACCAAGGCCACACAGCAAGTCAGTGACAAAGCTGGAACTTGAATCTAGTCTCCTGATTCCTTGTGCGTTGTTTTCAGTAATGTACCACTTATTCCTTCAACCTTCTGCCTCTCACAGCCCAATTGCTGTTCTTTGTGATACTGCAATGACTTGCTTTTTGTATGTAGTAAAGAGTCTATATTTAAATAAGACAGTGAGACAACCTTGGGGAGGTCATCCAAATCCCAGTCAGGTGGTGGGTGAGGGCTGGGGAGTCTCCCCAAGAAAGCAGTGAGACATGGATACTCCATGGCTTGATGATTATTAGGATTGGTGGCTCAATTTCAGATTCCCTGGTATAGGTTATTTGTGCATTCCACCTGCCCAAGAAGTTGTCTAGGCAGGGAGAGATATTCTGCCAGATTGCTGAGGACTGCTGTGAACGGACCATGCAAATCAAGAACAAGACGCCATATTTTGCTGTCTCTGCCACCCCCTTGCCTCCCAGATGTTTGAACAAACAGAGTGGCTGTCTAAAGCATCCACATGATGATTTCAGCTTCATTTGTCAAATGAAAAAGAGGAGTCATAGGGGAAACCTTCAGAGCTTAATCTCCCTTGAAGAGGAATTTGGAGGGTAGCATGCAGGCAATTAGTGTCTGCTCAATAAATCAGAGTGTCTGGCTACAGAGCAGGAAGCCTTGCATTATATCAAGGCCTGACCCTTCTCTTAGCTTATTCCATGAACATTCTTGGTCTCTTTGCCCAACTCTGGTTATTATCCCTGCCCTCTACCATTCTGTAGGGACTAGAGTTCCTGAAGTCCCTCTCCTTTTACCCCACCCCCGAAGACTCCTGAAAATCAAATGGATGAATAAAAGTGTCAGTCATCTCTCTACTAATCAATACATTAGAGCAGTATGTGGGAACAGCAGGGAGAATAATCTGTTCCCAGGGACTACAGTTTCTGGGAAATTCCTATTTCTAATTTCTGTGACACTGAGGTTTGGTTGAGCTCTCACTTTGCCACCTTGCACACTCATTTAATCCACTTGAAAACAAGGGAAAGGTAACATATCCTGGATAGCTTCTTTTTAATCTTTTTTTTTTTTTTTTCTGGAGATTTGTAGCAGAAACTTAAGATTGTAGCTCATGTTTGGGAGCTTGATTATGTGTGGTTGTGATTTCCTCTTTGTGGCATCCCTCTCCTCCCAGCCTGGTTGTATAATACCCAAAGACCTGTTCCAGTTTACTATTTGATGATTGAATCCAAAGAGTTGGAGGAAACAAGAAAACCCAACATGATGAAGGCAGCAAAAGCATCTACTTAAAAGCTAAAGTGGCTTGATGAGGCATACTCCTGGGACCAGAAGATCAAATGTAGGGCTGGATGGATTTGTTATTCCTCTTCCTTCCTGTCAGTAGGCAGCATTGAAAATAAACTAGTTAAAAAGTATGGTATTCCCCTTATCCTTTCCCTGGATCTGCTCAGATTACAACCCCACATCAACTGGCCTATAATTAGAATGGGGTGAAATCAGGCAGAATGGGGTGAATTGGAATTAGAGGCCTCTTCTCTCAGGCTCTGACCCCAAGGAAGAAAGGTAGATAAGCTGGCAAGAAAGCTTTGGGTAGTTTTTTCTGGCCACTGTTCATTCCACACCTATTGGTTTAGTTGTCAAACAGTATTTATTGAGTACTTAAATATCAAGTACTCTGTGTCGGACCTTATTCTATGTTCTGCACATACATCAGTGAACACGACAAAGTTTCCACTCTCATTGATTTATATTCCAATAGGGAAAAGAGGCAACAAACATATCATCAGGTAGATGGGCCTCTGAAGAAAAATAAAGTAGGATAGCAGGTTAGGGAGTAATGGGGGTACTAGCTGAGGAAGCAACAGTTAAGAACAGACCTGAAGGAGAGGAAGGAGCAAACCATGTGGCTTTCTTGGGGCATAGAATTCCAGACAGAGGTGAAAACAAACACAAAGACCCTGAAATATGGGAGTGTGTGCTAAAGGAGCAACGCGGAAGCCAGTGTGCCCAGAGTAGAGTAAGTGAGCGAGAGAGTGGGAGCAAAGAAGTTAGGGAGGTGACTGGAGGTCAGATTCTGTCTTCATAAGACTGACTTGTTAGTTTGAGTGAGATGGGGGCCACTGGAGGGTTTTTGAGCAAATATGTGAAATTATGAGATTTATGTTTTGAGCATTTCCCCTCATATGCCAGACCCTATGTTGGGCAATGAGGATATTGAAATCAATGAGATGTGGCCTTGAACATCTAGTGGGGACAAACATATCCCAGCAGAGGAAACAGTGTGGGCAAAATCCTGGAGGAAGGGAACAGATCCGAAGGCCCACAGTTGGGGAGTTTTGGAAGGAGTTGTACTTTTTGGGGCAAGACAAAGAGATGTGTTATATAAGTGGAGCAGAGGAAGCAAGGGTGAGATCTCTAAACAATGAGAGGACTGTCTCCTTTCCATGAACTCATTTGATGCTCTTAAACAGCCATGTGAAGTGGGTCAAATAGGAACTGTTTTAATATTCCCACTCTACAGATGAGGAAACAGATTGTGAGAGTTTAAGCTAGTTTCCAACTCGAGAGTGAGTTGGTAGCAGCATTGGACTCAGAGCCCAGGTCTTTTGAGATTCTCACCTTAGAAATCTTCCATGGCAGCTGGTTGTTCCCTTGGGTTGGCGATGGTGGGAGGAGATTGGGTGGGGGCCATCATTCTAATGTGGTTTGGTGGATAAGAGCATAGGTTTTGGAGGGCTTCTGACCTAGCTTCTGCCCTTTTGGGCAAATTACTTCCAATTTCTTTGACCTTGGTTTTGGGGTAATAAGAAAACATCACTTACTGGATTGCTGTATTACTAGGAGACAGGATAGGTATGGAAACTGGGGTACACAGTAATAGTCAAGATAATAAGTATCACTTATGTTGAGCTTATAGTGTGATGTGTACTTTCTAGGCACTTTATATGTTTTAATTTAAATAATCCTCACAGCACCCAAATGAAGTTGGTACTGTTATTATGCCCATTTCAATGATGAAGCAACTGAGTTATAGAGAGACTACGTGTGTTGCTCAAGGTTAGTCTGGTTGGTGAGCACAGAGGAGTATTATTTTAATTTTTTTTTTCTACTTGGTGGAGTTACGTGTTGCAAGTAATTAAAATGTAATTGAGGCTGGGCACCGTGGCTCATATCTGTAATCCCAGCACTTTGGGAGGCTGAGGTGGGTGGGTCGCTTGAGGTCAGGAATTTGAGACCAGCCTGGCCAACATAGCAAAACATCATCTCTACTAAAAATACAAAAATTAGCTGGGCATGGTGGCACACGCACGCCTGTAATGCCAGCTACTTGGGAGGCTGAGACACAAGAATCACTTGAAGTCAGGAGGCAGAGTTTGTAGTGAGCCGAGATCATGCCACTACACTCCAGCCTGGGTGACAGAGGGAGACTCTGTCTCCAAAAAACAAACAAAGAAATTCACAGTTGAGATGCCCCTGACTGGTGGAGTGGATGGACCAGATAATACTGGGTAGCCCTCCTGGTCGTATCATCCACATTTAGTAAATGGTATATTTAAAAGTCATTCTGACCGTCTTCTTATGGCATTGGCTCTCTTTTATGGCTTTATTGGACTTCATACATATTCAAAGTGGACTGTAGCACATCTTCCTAGCCTGCATCAGGGCGAGAACCTCTCTCAGCTTCCCATCCCTCCAGCAGGAAATCGCTGGGGAGCAGGTTGGACCACAACCCTGGTGGCTTTCTTTCCCAGTATCAGGCCTCCAGAGGTTCTGTGCTAGTATGTCAGCCCCTCTAGAAGGAGTGTTTACCTAGTTCCTAGGTAATATTGAGGCTAAGTCTTGAGCCTAGAGTTGAAGCAGTATTTCTAAGCCTTTTTTTTTTTTTTTTCGGGGTAGGGGCGGGTTTCTATTATTAGAAAATAATTCTACTGAGTTCCCCCTTTCCTTCCCATCCTTTAGACTGGGGGAAAAAATGGTATGCTCGAATACACCATTTCTAGATGCCCCACTCTCTGGCCTACTACCCTGCCTGATCTGTGTTTGCCTCTGATTATCTCTGGGAGGTATAAAGGTCTCTATCTCTAACCTTGCCTTGAAGCTTTTGGGTGTAAAGCTGAGATCTTAGCATCAAGGTGTCAGCACTAAGACCATGAAGATCATCCTCATACTACGTCTGGAAAAAGTGACACCTAGAGAGAGGAAGGAGTGGGTTCTCCAATGCCTTTTTGGCCTAAAGACAGTATAATGTAGTACAAGGAGTGAGCATACTCTGTGGAACCCCAGAGATTGGAGTTGGGTCATGGACCTGTAGCTAACTAGTTGGGCACCTTTGGCTTATCACTTGATCTTTTTGTACCTCAAACTGTAAAATGGGAGCAAGAATATTTACTTCCCAGGGCTATCGTGAGGCTCAGATAAGATAGATTGAAAATATCTGGCACACTGTCTGATCCATATAGGTGCTCAGGAAATATTAATTCTTCTGTGTCTTGGGACACTGCTCTTTGTCCTTATCTTCACATAGGCCCTGGAACACTCACCCCTGTGCCCACAACTTCGGTGCTGGTTTGGCTTGTGTTTCATGAGTTTTGAGCATACCTACATTCATCTCCTCCATGAAGACATAAGCTCCTTGAGGACAGGGGCCAGGTCTACCTTGACATCTGACACACACCCGCAACATACTTCTGACCTATCAGAGTTGCCATAAAGAAGGGGTAGGACTTGGAAACTCTATAGAATTGAATTAGCTAGGACTCAGGTGTCTTGGTGCCTATTTGTGTCTGACTCTTTGTAGCAAGGAGGAGAAGTAGTTCTAGGCTCTCTGGATAACAGACCAGGGAAGCATGTGGCAGTTAAGTTTCTTATTCAATCAGTAGATTTTGGTGAACTGAGAGGAGAAGGAAAAACAATTATAAGAGGGGAGTGGGTTCTTTTTCTCTCCCTCTGTTACCATCTTCCTTCTTGTCCTCCCATTTCCTTCTACTCATGTGGGAAGCAGTGAGATTAAGGCCTATTCTTTAAGTATTAGAAAGAGACAGAGACCACAGCAGGGATTGAGAGACTGGAACAGAAAAAGAGATTTATAGAGAAGAGAGATGGAGATTTTATATATATATATATACACATATAAAATATGTAATATATATGTAATATATATATGATACTATATATACATATCATATATATATACATATATATATATCCTCTCTCTCTCTCTCTTTCTCCATACATGCACACAAACACACACATATATATGACAGAGAACTTATAGGACCAGAGGGTAACTGGCGTAGAAAAGCTGTAGCAGTCCCAGGTGGCGGGGCACATTTGGCCTTGGGGTGAATAAGAAAATGGGTCTTCCTAGCTCACAGAGCTGTAAAACTTTTTGAGGAGTCCCAGGAGTCCCTCTCTCCCTCTGTCTCTAGTCTCTACCAGGGCCTTTCTGGCCTCTTACTGTCCCAGTCTATGCCCAGCCTTGGGTGCCTCCAGGCAGGTGATGGTGCCATCCTTCTGCCTGGCTGCCTCTCATCATCGCATGTCCTTCCCAGGGCGAGGACATCCTAGACAGGAGCTCGGAGCTGATCTACACTGGGGAGATGGCCTGGATCTACCAGCCCTACGGCCGCAACCAGCAGCGGGTCTTCTTCCTGTTTGACCACCAGATGGTCCTCTGCAAGAAGGTAACCCTGCCCCCTTCTTCCCTGAGGGAGATGGGTACCTAATGGGGTACCGGACCCTCCTCTTCATCATCCCCAGGCTCCCAACAAAGTGGGCAAATACTGATGGGGGGAAAACAGACAGGAGATTTGCAGCAGTTCTGTATCAGGAGCACTAATGTGGCATGAATGTCACAGGCAGGGTTGGCTTGTGGGCGGTGAAAAACTCTGAAGTTGGTACATTTCGTCTTGGTATTTTTCTTACCCTTTGCCCTAATGACCCTGGGGTGCTCCTTCTCACTTTCTTCTACCCAGAGCTGCTGGTCTGCACCATTTGTTAAAAATATTGAAATATGTCTATCTTAGTTGGTAAATAGTAGTTTCCCTGAGCCCTTTCCCTCATTTCCACTCTAATGGCTCTGGCCATGTGGCCCCTCCCTGCCCTGGGAAACAACAAGGAGCCTCCTACTGTTGCCCTGACAGGTAGGTACCTTTGTAATATAGGAATTTTTTCCATGCCTCTACCTATTTCCTATACAAGGTGCACTGGTTCCCCACAACCCCCAAATGTGCTCTTCTCCACTCTTCCTTCTTTGTAATCCATTTGAGGAGAGGTCTTACTCTTGTCACTGACTCCTGGATAACTGTGAATGTTGGTTTCTTGGACTCTTCTCCTTGGTGAGGCTGGGAAGGGTGGCGTATATTCTAAGCATCACTCCTCCTTATGGGATACTTTTCCCCCTACTTCCTCACTCATAGCAGAGTTCAGACCAGTTTTGGATCCAGGGACTGATTGGGAAGAATTGGGGACCAGGGAAAGTAAAAATGGAGGAAGAAACCAGAATGCTTAGAGTGACGTTACAGATTCACCATCCTACCCTTGGCTCTTTTGCCATCATCCAGTCCCTTTGTCCTCTCCTTCACCCAGTAGTGAATGCCTCTGAAGAGGAGTGCTGAGTCACAGAATACCAGGGTAAATAGTGTTATATTTTTCTGGGCTGGAACATGAACCACACAGTTGTTTTAAGCCCCCTGTCCTCTGTGTGTGTATGTGTGTGGCATATCTTGTATTGAATCTTTATCCATTTGCTTTGACAGTGGATTGAGGGGAAAAAAACTGAGCTTAGGTTCAGACTGCCTCAGTGTTTGGTGATAAGCTCTGAATGTCCACTCTGGAACCAATATCCAGTCAGTTAATGGGGATAATAACTTACCTTAGTATGGAGCTGACCCTCAAACAGAGAACTTTTATAAATCTGAAACTCGGCCAAACACTAATGCTTCTTTTTAGCTTTCCCAACTCTTCTCAGGACTTTCATAAAATCAGGAGGTAGGATTTTTGAGGGTTAATTTAGGCGGCCATGGAAATTCTCAGCATATCAGCCATGTCACTAACAGTAATGTGCCTATTCTTCCCACTAAAGTGTTTACACTTAGAACAAGTAGCCATAGAGACAGTAAACAAATAGGAACCTGGCTTATTTTATAGTTCTGTACCCCCCAGGCCCTATTAATTTTGGCATCTGTTAGCCAAGGCTGGGATTACTTTAACTAAAGTGTGAAACTAGGCTCTAGAAAGCAGTGGCTATAAGAGATAGACCAGGATCCAGAACATAAAACAATGAGTCAGAAGTCAAAAACAAAGGGGAAGAAACAAGATAAACAATGGGCTTAACTTAGAACCCAAGGGGCAATGGAAGACCAAGATGGAGTAATGAGCCAAGTCTAAGCCACATATTGTGAGAGCCAATGATTAGGAAGAAACTAGAAGTCAAGACAGGGCTGGGGATTCAAACCAGTCAAGCTGACAGGGTGGGGGAAGCATATAACAGGGATGGTGAAAACAAGAGAAACCTCAAAGCAATCATAGCTTCCCACAGAAGGCAGCTTTCTTGTTTTTACAAGAACCATAGGCTTTCTTCCCAAGACACAGCCAGCCTAGAGTCTGGGGTATAAAGGCTACTAAGTCCATATACCTGGGTGTTCTTGACACCAGAACATGAGCAATTATAGCCTAATTGTTCAAAGGCCATTAAAACTACCTGATGTTTGTTTTGAAGATTTCCATTTGTTATCTACAATAAACCTTTCCATTCAGCAAGTAGGGATAAACTTGAAAAAATGATCATGGGGCCAAAAGAAAGTATGCAAAGAGACAAGGTATTTTGTCTGCTGGGTTGTTTAGGGACCTTTGTCATTACTACAAAAGACTCTTTTCTTGAGATAGAGCTGGGAGGAATGAACTAGGCTTTCTGGAGGTGAAAATTCCTTTGACAAAGAGAATCCATGGAGGAAAGGAAGGGAATGTCTGGATTGGGCCAAGGTGAGTGAGACTGTCACTTCACTCACCTCAAGCACACAATTTGAATGGATATCTGAAAGTTCAGTAATCCTTTTTACTGGGAAGAAAGGAGGTGAGGATGCTAAATAATGAAATATGGCCACATTAAGCTTTCTGATGGTCTCATATTTTAAAAGGAGGAAACAAAGACCCCTAGCAAGTGGCTAAATAATATATAATATTTTATATATGATATAATATTTAACAGGGGTGACAAAATAGTTTCATGAATCCTAGAATGAGTCAAAATTAGTTTTTAAAAATGCTTAATTTTAATTACTTTTAAAGCTATGTTCAAATGAAGAAGAAAAAAGAAGTGATAGTCTGACAACCTCCTATTTGAGGCAGATGGTTTACTGATAACAGAGGAATATAAATTCCTTCTCTATCAAGGAAAAGAAGGCATAAACTTGATTCAAAGGGAATTGAAGCCCAAAGGATCTGAGGTTGTAAGAGAGTACTTTACTGTTCTGAATTCTTTCATTCTGTAGATATTGAGCCCCTCTTCTGTGCCAACCAGCTCTACTTTCATAGGGATTCTAGTCTAACAGAAGTTAAATATGATGTTATTTAAAAAATATACATCCCAGGGCACTGAAATAATTTGAAGATGTCCCAAGTGGAATTGCTGTAGGTCATCTTGACAGAATTATGGGTTCTAGGAGATCTGTGAGAAGACTATAGATAGGAGAATGTACCAGTTTTCAAAGCAAAAATTGTATGTTCTAGAAAGTAGAGATCAACCATAAAATATTAGTGAACTAGCATTTATTGAGTGCTTCTATGATTCTGTTCTAAGAACTTTACACTTATTAACTCAATTTAATCCTCACAACAAACCTATGAGGTAGGTACTATTATTATTTCCATGTTAAGGATATGTAAAGTGAGACCTAGATAAGTTATATGATTTTCCCAAGGTGAAATAGCTAATGAGTGATAGAGCCAGGAATTAAATCCAGATAAGCTGGCTCCAGATTCCACATTGGTAATATTTATGTCAATATTACCATTGAGCTTGTCAAAATTCTGTACTTGATTATTAAACAGCCTGTGAACATTTAGAAAGAGATACAGTGGCCACAGGGGTCATCATTGGCTTTCTAAGAACGAGTCATATCCCATAAAACTCAGTTTCTGTTTTGCCAGTAACTTAATTAGTTGACAGGAGGATTGCACAGGACAGAGAGTATCCTCCTGCATTTCAGATTTTCCCATGGTTTCCTTGCAGACAGAAGTCATATAAAGTGATAGAAAAAGTATAAAGTTTGTAGTCAGACAATTCTGGGCTCAAATCCTGGTTTCAATACTTGATAACTATGTGATTTCAAGCAAGTGATGCTTCTTGTACTTCCATTATATCAATTGTAAACGGTGATGATAACTATTCTACAGGATTGTCATGAAGATTAAATGGAATCAATACATATAAAATGCCTGATAGAGTGCCTAGTACTCATTAATCTCATCTTACCCAACCTCCAACAAAGAAATAGCCTTATAAAGTAGTGAGGTCCTCATCACGAGATGTACCCAAATATGGGCTACATTATTATGTGCCAAAGATAGTATAGTAAACATTGAAACACTGATCTCTTTCCATGATCATGTGGCCTCACCACCAAGTTCTCATCCAACTCTTAAGATTCCCTTAATTCCCAGTCACTTATGCCTGTTTTGTACATTGGGAATTGGGATTGACTAATCCACTCAGAGCAGCTTAAACAACTTATGCAGCTTGTAGCTTGTTTCAGAGAGAGAGAGAGAGAGAGAGAGAGAGAGAGAGAGAGAGAGAGAGAGAAGGAGAGAAAGAGAGCAAGAGAGCACGTGGGCGTATGTGAAGGTACCTTTAAAATGGCAATTATAGTATGTGGGAAAGTCACCAGTGACTTCTAATTATGTGACCCCTTCTTTAATTTTTGCTGTCACCACTCTTTTAACTTTTCTTTCAAAAAATCCAAATAAGACTCTGTTCTCTTTTTTCGTATTATCTATACTGTCTGTCTCTGCTCCTCTGTTTCATTACATTTTTATTTTAGTTTTTGATGTGTTTTATTATTTTCTTCCTGATATAATTATTTGGGAAATTATTTTGATGCTTTGGGGAGATTTTCTCCTCTTTGAGTATTTACTGTTGAAAGGAGCAGATCCCCTTTTCCTGCACCCTCTGTCCTATCGTGCCAGTCTGGACACGTGCTGTTGTCCCATGTGTCATGCTGTTTATTTCATTGCTTTCACCATATTCAAGGGAATCAGAACTAAGCAGCATGTAATGATGTTGGGCAGAAGACTTCTGTTCAGGGAAGTTTCTGCATTTGGACAATTTCGTCTTGCACTGAAGGGTCAGACTTGAAGGATGAGCTATTTGGGACAGCTTATAAATTCAATAATAGCAATAGAGATGGGGCTGAAGCAGAAAGAAGAAGGGGATTTGAAACCAGAACTCCTGGGTACTTATCTTTACTTTGTCTCTTACTAACTTTTCTAACCATGGGCCAGTTCTTTAACTTTGTCCTTATCGTCCTCAATGTCAAATCAGGCTGATGATAGAAGTCATCTCAAGAGGCTTTGGGAGAGAACCACCTGAGGTAGTGGGGAGCAGTGGAGTATAGGGTTAAGAGCATGGATGCTAGGGCCAGACTAGAGGGCAATCTCCTTTCTCCCGTGAGCTATATGACCTTGG